AAAAAAAAAAAAAAAAAAGCCACTAGCTAGCCAGAAAACTCAGCTGCCCAGAAAGATACACTCATGCTCACGCCCACCCCTTCACAGCCATTAACTAAACACTCCATGTGGCTCCCTGTGTGCCTCCTCCTGACAGCTGATTAAACAGGAACAGAGCTCCCACATAATCACAATGGTGATCACCTAGGGAAGAGTTGGTTAGAGCCCAGAGCCCTGCACCAGAGGTAAGAAGGAACTCACCTCTGGAGGAAAAAAGAACACAGCTACAGAAAGGGAATGGGGGAGAGCCACAACTGGAAGGGATCAGAAATAGAAGCCTTGGTTTGGGCCACAGCTGACTAAAGATTTCCACCAGTCCTTGGATGAGGAAGGAGGCAGGAATTTGCCTCTCTGTGGCTCACCTGTGGGGTGGCAAATGTAGTCACACTTCCATTAACTACGGAGGAAGCTGCTTATTGGTTTCATGGCAAAGTGGAGTCAGGCAATGTCCATGCATCTTTTGATTTTTTTTTTCTTTTTAGTACTGGGGATTGGACCCGGGGTGCCCTACCACTGAGCTACATCCTCAGTCTTTTTTATTTTGAGGCAGGGCCTTGCTAGTTTGCCCAGGCTGACCTTGAACTTACAATCCTCCTGTCTCAGCCTCTTGAGTAGGTGTGTGACCTGGCACCCTGCTCTTTTGATGTTTTCATAGTGTCTAGCATTGAAGAACCTCCCTAGGGTATCACAGAGAGGAAATTGAGCCCCATGGTGGTCACTGTGGGACAATGGCTAGAGCAGTGGGTGTCCTCACAGAATGGCGCTATAACAAGAATTAGGTCTGCTGGGGTAGGCTTTATAGCACAGTTTTCTGGAAGGAGCAAGTTATGGATTTTGAGGGCAGGGGAGGGATAAGGCCAGGTGGAAGTCACTGACTGTGATTCCAGGAGAGATGATGTCCTGGTACTCAGAATCAGGCCCTTCAAAAGCCTTTTGTGCTTCAGTGCTACTACCCCATGGTTGACTTTACCCAATATGACAAGCTCAACTATCTGTAAGTGTCCATCCTTCTTGAGGTTACCTGGGCAGCCAATGGGTATTCTGGGTAGTAGATTTAGTGGTGGCTTCTCAGACATTGTAGAATCTGGAGGGCGAGGAGAAGTGTTTTGGGGCAAGGATCCTTGATCATCCTGACCATCAATATTCACCAGTGTGGGTCCCTGGGGCATATGGTCTTTCATTTTATTTCTTCCTGTCCCTCAGTTTGCTCTCAGTGATTCTCTCCTGGGCTTATGGCCTGTCAGGATAGGTTATCAGTGGAGAGAAGGTAAATAGAGACTGAAATAGAGACCAGAGGAGAGAGGAGGAAGGGGAAGCAGGAATTCCATCCCTCAGTGCAAACCAGACCCAGGAAGTTCCAGGAAGGGGCGAGTGTGAGGGAGTGGGAGTGAAAGCCCTGGCTGGTCCTGACGGCCCCCAGGGTGAGCCATTGAACTCCCCTTGAACTCTGGACTCTCTAGCCATTTGGTTGTGGACGTGGATGTGGCCGCGGATGGAGATGCAGTCACAGGCTGCCCGTGTCTCCTGCAGCCAGTGCCACCACAGTGCTGCCCTTCAGAGTTCTGAAGGGAGGCCCTGCTCTTCTTCCCTCCTCTGCCTCCCGGGTAGGACTCCGCAGTTGAGCAAACCTGCCCACAGTGGCTTTGGGAGCAGAAGAGCCTCAGTTCATTCAACCCTCCCATTTCCTCCTGGCCCCATGACAGCAGCCCATCTCCTCCCTGACCTTTCCCTGCCTCCCAAATAAACACCGCCAGGTCCTTGGATGCCTGCTGCTATTTCTCTTGCCATTTTGATTTGTTTTTCTGCACTAATTCAGAGCTGGTAAAGTAAATAGCTCTTAGAACCAGGCTTTATCCAACCCCGGCTCCCAGGTAGGTGGCAGGATAGCTTGAGGAGCTGGGTGTGTCCTGAAAGGACTCCCTTCACATTCAGGCTGTGATGTTCCAGCAAAGCCACTTTGGTTTGCCAAGATGCCCTGAAACAGGAATGAGACTCCTCTCTTTGCAGGTCATGGCAAAAAGAAAATAAGCTGTTCGTCAGTAACCTGGCACAAGGGGTCCCCGAGGATGGCAGCTACCACACCTGCATGTATCACAGGCTTGTGGACCTCTGAGGCCTCCAAGCTCACCGAGGTGGTCACAGCTGCCCCCTACTCTGAACTGCCTCACCTCTCCAGTTTTCTAAAATGAATTTGGTGGAAGTGAGAAGGGTAAAGACAAGGGAGGTGATGTGGGAGCCCCTGAAGGTTAGGGTGTTTGGATGGAGAAGGGTATGGAAAATGGGATTCCTCCCGCTTCTCTTTCATCAAGGTTCTACCCCACTCTCCCAGACATGGATAGGGCAGTGACTGTGACCAGCAGGCCCATGTTAGCATGGCACCTGTGCATAGGAGCTCAGTGGCTTGCACGTGGCAGTGGAGACATGGCCTGTGTCCTCTAGCTGAGGCACGTGGGGAGCTCACAGGTGAACAACACAAGGACTTCAAGAAATGCAGTTCCCGGGTCACCCTGGTTCACTGGCCTCATGGTTCTAACAGCGCAGTGGCTGCTGGTCTGTAGAGGAAAGGGTTCTCCTCAGCCCAGCTGGCTGCGGGCGTGGGTGGCCTGGCCTGGCTCCTCTTCTCTCCACATAGCTAGAGCCGATGTGTGGTTTGGTTTTTGTTCTTGAACACGTAGCTGCCCTATCTGTGCCTCCTCTAAGTATTTTTGTCTTTAACTGATTCGCAGCAGCTGACCCTCAGCAGGAGGAAAATAACCAAACTGGAGCCCAAAGCCCCACCTCCCTCTTGCGCTGTGGCCTCTGCCCCATTTTGCTGCTGCTCATTGTGCAACTGCAGGGCCCAGGCACTGCGTGGGGCCTTCGTTCTGAATCCAGTTATCCTGCCTTGCACCACCATGAAGTGGCAGGGACCCCATTCCACGGGGCCCAGGAAAGTTAGACCACCTACCACAACTCACCACTGCTGAATGGCAGAGCCAGGATTGTAAGTGGTGCCTGACATGAACACCTGTGTGCTTAACAGTGCTCCTGTCTGCCAGTCAGGTGTGAGCAGGGACGCCTTCTCCACCTCCACCCTCTTAGTGGGACCATCCCTAAATCATCCCAGAAAGATGACTGAGTTAGGTCAGCTTGGGGAAAGATAGCCCCTTCCCTATCTCTATCCCTGTCATGGGAAAGTGACAGCGTGTGTGAGTGGGGAGAGGAGCCCAGAGCCACACACACCTGGGGTTTCTATCCTGGCTCCACCCAGCCTTTCTGTGCTTGTTTCTTCAACTGTGAAAAGGGAACATAAATAGCTTGTTTCTCGCAGGGTCACGAGGCTCATGGGAGTTAATGAAGCAAGCAAGCACCCAGTACTTCCTAAGAATCACACATCAGACCAGAACGGGACTCCACACTGTGTTAAATGCTAAAGAGGAAGGCACAGGAGCTTAAGGCCTAGGAATTTATCATCAATTGTGAGACAAGACCCCATACTGGGAATGTTGATTGACAGCTCAGAACATTGAAATACCAGGCCATACACACAATAGCACACAGCTAAGTCCAGGAGCATAGTGATAGGAGGGGCATCCCAGGCTGGGGCTGGGGAAAGGATTAGGTGTGGAGAGAGGGGCTCACGAGACTGGCCTTTGCTATTTATCTCCTCAACTGCAGGCATCAGAATCATTCAAGAAGGTGGCTGCTAATGCATATTCCCAGGCCCTGCTGTCTGATATTCTGATTCTGTAGGTTTGGGAGGAGCCAGAGAATCTGTATTTTAAGTAATGCCCCTCCCCTGGGATTCTGATGTAGAGGGTTCCTGTACCCTTTGAGGAGCAGTTCCCAGGGACACCAATTTACAGAGCTAAGTGACATTGCTACCTCAACCTGCCAAAGGAGTTCCCACTTACCTCTTGGTGTTCCTGCTGGGGAGTCAGGGTGGCCTCCATCACTGGCCCAATTCCCCACATAAAATCATACTCATTCCATACTTCCCCAAACAGCCACGAGCTCTCCTCCCGCTGTCCTCGGGGCTGTGCCCATTAGGACATAAAACACTTGGATGACAGCAACATCCAAAATTTGTTCAGCTCCGTCTTCCCCATTCCAGGCCCATTATTCCCCCATGGCAATGTGTGGTATAGGTGGCCTTTGTTCCTGGGGGGGACACCGAGGCCCAGAAAATCAGGGGACTGCCTCGAGTCACCAGGAAACCTAAGGCAAAGCCCTGATTTGAACACTTCTCCTCTGCAGACCTGGAGGCTCTGGGCAAACCCAGCTTCCCTTCAAGCTTCAAGACAGAAGAGCACAGCTAAGACTGTCTACTCTGGACCTGAACAATAAGTGCAAACTCACCCACTGGGACAGCAAATACCAAGCAGGCCAGGAGTTGGAGGGACCCTTCCATGTTGCAGCATCTGGAGACTCAGCAGCCCCACACCCAGCCAGGCCCCCAGTGAGAACCTGCGTGGCACGGGTGTGGCCACGGTAGGTGGGGATGGGCACGGGGCTGCAGGCCCGGCTGGCTCTGGGAGCTGGAGGAACTGGGATGAAGGAGCCAGGCAGCCGGGGATGTGATTATACTGGACCCGTGCAGTTTAGTCATGTGGAAAACCAAGAGGGGAACCACTGGATGGTTTTCCAGCACAGGAAACAGGGAAGTGGATGGGGAAGCAGGGGTCCTGTGGCACCAGCCTGGGCCTTTCCTTCCTTCCTGCCCTCTGTGCCTATATTTTAGTGCACCATATGGGTTTCGTCTCCCTCCACCTTCTTTTTTCTCCTTTTTCACTACCAGAGAGATTTGGGCAAGTTATCAAAAAAGGGGAGGAGCCTGCTAACATAATAATTCAGTGACCTGGAGCTAGGGAAAGTTGTCGGTATTTACAAGAAAAAAAACCGGTCTAGGTGATGATTCATGTTCATGACCAGGGGCCCCTCGGAGGGTCTTCAGTCCTAGAACAGCACTTTTAAAACCTTAATGGTAATAGGGATCCTTTGGGGATGGTGTTAAAATGCAGATTCAGATCCTGGTGGTCTGAGGCAGGCAGGTAACTTGCATCTCTAAGTCCAAGGTGATGCCTAAGCTGGGGTCCTCTAGAACCCCACTTCTGCAGCCACAGCTAAGAGAACTCCCATCCTGGGAACCACCCGGTGGCATTATCAAGAGGACATCAGGACGCCAGTGCGGAGTCAGGAGGAAGTTCTGGAGGCTAACTGTGTGGGTTTGAGACTGGAGTGGGGATTGGACCCATAATGGGATCCCATGAGGACTGGAACTCTACTTGGATCTGGATTTGGCCTGGCTGGTGGATGACTTCTTTACTGGCAATGAACTGGATTGGACCCTTTCACTCCATGTCGCATGGTTCCTCCTGTGGGTTGTACAGTAGTAGTTTGCAACCTCAAGGGCTAAGAGATAAAATGAGATGTGGTTTTTCAAGATTGTGAAATGCACTTAAGACAAAGGCCGTTGCTCTTTCAAACCAGCCCTGTCAGGGTGGCAATGCCCTTCAGAAACTCAAGTGGTGTGCTCCTCAGAGACTGCAGTCAAGGTGAGTTGCAGTTTTTTCAAGAGTGAATGGGGCCCCATTCCCCCAAATTTACCTGTAAGAGCTGGGAGATGGAGTCTCCTCAGTGATGGCGCAGCTGGGCTAAGTTGCTCCTTTCTGGACATCCTTTCCATCTCCAATCCTGGAGGTGCCCTCAGCGCATAGTCTTGTTCCCAGCTGGAGTTCTAAGGAAGGTGATCTTCGGGAAATCGAAATCTGTGGTGTTAGTTCTGAAAGTAAAGCTGGGACCTGGGGAGGTGACTTGGAGGGTAGCAATCATCTTACCAGACAGGGGGACACACTCTCCACCCTAGGCTTTATAGTTACACATACAAACCTCTCCCCTTCTTGCCTCCCTCTCCTTGTACCCCTTCTACCCTCCAGTGTTACCAGGATAAGTTAGTTCAAGTTGCCCAAGTTCAAAGGCCAGGATTCAAGACAAGAGCTGTCAGAGGGAGTCAGGTTAACTCAATAGCCAGCCCTGAAGAAGATAGGATGGCTACTGACCTGGAAACCCCATCAGGGGACTCAGGAGCACCATCAGGAGACTCAGGAGCACCAAGGGCTTTTTTTTTTTTTAATTGTAGTTGGAGACGATACCTTTATTTATTTAATTTATTTATTTGTTTATTTTTATTCTGTGCTGAGGATTGAAGCCAGTGCCTCACATGTGCTAGGCAAGTGCTCTACCGCTGAGCTACAACCCCAGGCCACAGAGGACTTTTATAGGGAGGGGAAGGGGGAGCAGGGCAGGAAGGCTACATGCTGAGCAGGGTCTTCATCATTGAGGACATGTGTCTTCTTTCTATGGAACATGACAATGGACCATGGCCTCCTGGGTCATCTGGGGCTAGCTTCTATAAAATGTCTCTCATTTTAGAGAGACATATTGCTTTTCTGTAAGTTAAACCCCATAGCAATTTATAGGCTTTGTGTTAATTGGTGTCTAGAACTAAAACTCATTTAATTGAGCAGTTACTATGTATATATACTGTGTGTGTATGCATCTATATCTCCATACATACACAAAGCTGGACACTGAAGACCCAGCCCAAGCTTTAACATCCCATCTTGATTCACCTTCTTAGTCGGCCAGGTATATCTTATAAAAGTGTCAAAAGTCATCAGATGTTCTGGGTTCTGTAAATTTAGCAGTTAACACCTTAATCATTTAGGTGGGGCTTCTCTCTAGAACTTAGAATGCTGGGGAAAAGGGAGGAGATGACGTAAGAGGAATAGGGAGGTACAAAACCTTGGGCAAGGGAAGGGCAAAGGGAATGACTTTGCCAAGACAACTCCCCAGAGGAGCGGCCCTGTCACACCAGGGCTTCTCTTATCACAGTCGGGCCAGGCTCTGGTTTACAACAAGTATTCTTAAAGAGGATAATAGAATAGAAGTTTCACCTGCAGACTAAGCTGGTGAATCAGTGTCCCATATTCTCAAAGCTTGGCTGGACTTAAGTGCCCAGCTTCTGTGTGTGTGTGTGTGTGTGTGTGTGTATGAAAATACTAAGTGTATACACACACCCTGATGTTTCTGTTTGTATTATTGAATGGGAAGCTGATGTTCCTTCTCCCAGTCTCCCTGTATTAATGGATTAAGGTCTGCTTTGCTTACTGCTCAAAGACCAATATTCAAGAGATGAGTGGTATGGGGAGCAGGTTGTACCTTGTTCTGAGCTGGAACATATAAACCTAGCCCGGAGCTACTCCATTTTGAGTACAAGTGCTAAGGAAGAGTTATTTGGTAACTTGTCTGAGTAAATAGATAATCACCAGATGTTGGATACACAGAACTTATCAAAAGGAATAACTCCCATTTACACAGTACAATCATAAGACACAAACTGATAAATTAATAAAAAAAGACCACCTATTAACTTATGGAAGTAAATCAGAAGAACATGGATGTATGGGTATAACAAATCATATCAGAAAAAGCAGGCCCATGCATTTATCAGTCTCACTAGATACAACCCCCTTACCTGTAATTCATATGAGTAGAAGCACCCCAAGACTAGTTAGGGTGGCACACACTGACCCTGAAGCAGGCCTTCTGGTGAACATGTCTCGAGATCAACAGGCAACAAACCTCTGACTCTTTGTCCCTGGGCTTCAGCTCAGCTTGACTTCCCTGCTTGACATACTCCATTTCAAACTGTCTGTCGTCTGGACCCTGGAAGAGAAGTTCTTTGCTGTCTGCACTGTGTCCAGGACAAGTTCTCTGCTAGTTCATGATCTTATCTGATCACCTGCAGTGACTCTCTTTCCTGTTTGTCTGCTCTCTGCCTTTTTTGGCATTGCATCCTGAAGCCTTGTGACTGATACCACCTTTTCTTAACCTTTCTGCATAGGTATGTATGTGTTATATATATAATTTTTTTCCTGTGAAGTATGATGTGTGACTTGAGTATTGTAGACATTAGTAATTAACATTGGAATAAAAGAACTTGTGAGTCTGAGATGGCTTGGCTTATGGCTACCAAGTGACCCACAAATACCAGTGAATTGCAGCCAATGAAAATGATGTCTTTTGTGAATTTATTGTTATTTAATAGATTCAGACACTGTGGAAGACACAAATGTTAATGGCACAGCTATCTCATAACATGAGAGTCCATAGAAAGGAGTCATGTTTATTCAAGGTCTGGCCCTGAAGAAGATGGAGTGGCTGTCAATCTCAGAGCTCCATCCTGGGAGGCTCAGGAGCACAAATGGCTTCATAGGGAGGAGAAGGAGGGGCAGGCAGAAGGGTTACATGCTGAGCAGGGTCTTCATCATTCAGGACACATGTCTTCTTCTCTGGAACATGACAAGGGGCCATGGCCTCCTGGGGTCATCTGGGGCTAGCTCTTGAAGTTCTTTTTAGATAGATATATTACTTTTCTGCAAGTTAAATCATTTTTAAAAATTTTTATTTGTTCTAATTAGTTATACATGACAGTGGAATGCATTTTCACCTATCATACATATATGGAGTATAACAATCCTTCTGGTTGGTACATGATGTAGAGTTACATGGGATCATGTAATCATATATGCACATAGGGTAATAATACCCAATTCATTCCACCGTCTGCAAATTAAATTATTACTAGGGAAAAACCTTAAATAAAAAACCTTAAATAGACCCTTAAGTTTTACTTGCCCTTAGTTTACTTAAAAATCACCGATTTTGGAGGTCACCACTATTAGCCTCCCGCTAACTTTGTAGGTATAACCTCTAATGTGTCGATTATGATAGTAACAGTTGCCTAGGTTACTCTTCAGGGACCTGAGGACTGCTTTTGCAACCTGACTCTTCACTTGGGCCTGCTGATGTCCTATGGGTGGCTGAAATGGGATCAAAAGGCTTGGCATCTCTGTCTTTATATTGTATCTGTCTCCTTTGTTGCCTTAACTTTTGGGTCAGATTTTACTTAACACTGCAGTAGACCTGTTGAACATTTGAGAAATATATCGTCCAGAACAATAAATAGAGTTAACTTGATTTTATTTGCCTAGCCTCCACCTCCACGCCCCCATTAAGGCCAAAGACGCGTACCAACTACCATGGCTGGAAAAAGCAGAGTGAAAGTCAGGAAGAGGTAGGTGGCACCCGAGTTCCTGGAAGACCTCTGCCTATTCTCAGAAAAGACAGTGAACTCCTTCCCTCTCTTAGCCTCTCCCTCTCCCTCACTGCTCCTCCTCTATCTGTAACCCCCGGACCCCTGGAGTTGAGGAGCCCATTTGTGAGCAAGGGCTCCCACTTCTCTGTTTTTTGGCCTTTGAATAAAGCCTTTCTTTCTCCCCAACACTCAACTCTTGGGCATTGGTTTTTCCTTGGAATGAGCTTCTGAACCAGGCGGTAACATACCTCACACCAATTTCTGTGCTTTGTGTTAGTTGATGCACAAAACTAAACACTAAGGAGGGGTGTTACAAAGGTCGCAAGATCTAGGCAAGAATACTGGGTTCTGTAAATCTGAAGAAAGATTATTTAGCAGTTAACATCTTAACCATTTAGG